AAAAATTCAACCGTTATATTTACGTACACCACAAATAAAAGTCATACTTAAATTTATCACGTATTGTAGAATTTCATATTGAATTTCAAGGAAGACGTGCAACTTATTAGTGGTTGTTTCCGCCATATTCAATCATCTCAAACAAAAATTGACAGTCAAAGAGTGATTACGTACCATCACAATTTTCATTAATTCTAAATTCTTACTATTAGGCCTTGCAAGCTTACAACAGGAGAAGGTACAGATAGCACAGTGATTAGCATCAAATTTGAAATCTTTATCTAGTTTAAATAAAAGAAGAAGCCATACCACCGATCCACCACATTCTATAAATTTTAACCTAGTCATGAATGTGTATCCTGTATAGGTTTGTAGTGTGTTTGGTAAAGAGAATTGAATGGTAGAACAACAAAAAAGAAAAAAGAAAAAATATATATTGAAATCTTACCGCTCTACTATCTAGTTTAATTTTACAGTCTCCATCAAACATGCTCTTCCAATTGTACTTCAAGAGGGTGTGGGGGTGCGTAGGGTGGAGTGGAGTGGGATAAAATAAAGTGGGTGTCATCTAGAATGATAAGCCAGGGGTACAAATTCAGACAAGGGAGTGGGAATAGTTGAAGGAGCAGGAGAGTTCCTACAAAGTGGGCAAGAGGCATTCACCTGAAGCCATTCATCAACACAAGTAGCATGGAAACAGTGGTTGCAATCTGGAATGCACCTTAGTGTATCCTTTGCACAGTACTCAGACAAGCAAATGGAGCACGGCCCATTATTAGGCTTCGGCAGTCTCCGGCTTTCACCTAGTACGATGGACGGGTACGACTCTATTATCCGCTTTTCCTGGCCCAGCACCAGCATTATGGGCTCTAGGGACCGGTGGTTCGACTCTTCTCTTCCACCTCCGGATTTGACTCGGATGCAAGCGTAGGAAGCCAGCATGATGGTGGAGATGAAAACAAGAATGCTAACAGCGACAGCTATGCCGTAACCGAGGCTGACGCCGCTGTAGTATACCGGCGGAGGGGCGGTGGACATGGGAGGAAAAGGTTGAGATCTGGGTACTAAGAAGTAAGTGTCAAGTGAGATAGATAATGGATTTGTTGATCCAACGGGAAGCCAAGTTTCGCGGGCCGAATTTAATAGAGTTGGACCATGGAGTAATAATGAATGATCAAAATAAAAAAGTGGTTGCATGTGTTTAGTCCTTGTAACGGGCCATTTGGTACAAAAGTCAAGATGGCTAGAGATGGACACTTGTATTATATTAAAATTTGTATACAAATCTCTAAACTGTAATTGAATGTTTATCCATTAGATGGTTTTCATAGTTATGTTTTGATACACACTGCAGAAAGTGAAATTATTGCATTAGAAGTTGTTAGACAATTTTATTTTAGGAAAAATTGCAACAACGGTCCCTAACTTTTTCAAATTTTGTAGACTTTGT